TTTCCCTCCTCCTTCAGAGAGCTTCTCTTGAAGGAGCTGCCGTGAGGTCTCAAGAAGCTCTTTAACTGTGAGAGCTGAAAGAGGAAGGTGTGAAGACAGGGATAAATATTTCTTTGCCTTGCAAATATGATTTGCAGAGGTGGCATTGGCATCCTAACTCTAGCTGACCCAATACAAATCCAGCTGTACTGTTCCCATTGTACAGCTTGTGTCAGCCCCCTGAATCATGTGGTGGCTCTTGCTGTATCAGACTGTCCACAAGGTAGCCCTGTCATCTCTTCTCTGCTGTAAAACAGCCTCCAGGCTTTGGCATGTGTAACTCGGGGGTTTTCCCTGCTCTCAAGCTCTTGGTGGCTCACAACACATGGTGTTTTGGGAATAACTAGTCATGAAGGGATGGAGTGACAATATATTTGCTCTTCTGGGGCTCAGTGTGACAGCAGCAGCTGGTGTTCAGCCCCTCTGTGCAGCACTCAGGACCTTCCCTGTCTCTGCGTGCAGATCCAATTTGATCTGCTGGCTGACATGGGATCATGGAGTATGTAAAGTCCAGAAAAAGCCTGACAGAAAAGGGTCTTCCTTGTCCTTTGACCTTTTTGCTTTTTCCAGGGCAGATTTTCTGGACTTTCTGTAGAGTCTATACAACTGCTGTGGAAATATGTACTCGACTGGCTGCTCCTAAGGTCATGGAGATTAGCCTGTAGAAATATTACACCACTTTATTGTATTCTCCCACCTCGTTACTGTGCCAATGACTGCACAGCCTTAAGCTGGGATATTTTGCCACATGATATTGTGGATGCTGAAAACTCGTGTGGGTTCAAAAGCAGATCAGAGACATTAATGGAAGAGAAATCCATTGAGTGTTACTAAATTCATAGGTGCCACATCCAGCTTGGGAAGTTCCTGTCAACAAATGGTTAGAGGCTTGGAGAGCACGCAGGGAGGCATCATCTATGTTTGCCCTGCTCCTAAAGGGAGGGAAAGTATCTGCTTTAGGCTGCTGTCTGCAGAGGCTCTGAGAGCCCTTAGTCTGATCCAGCATGGCTGCTTTTATGTTTCAGAGCCTGTGGGACTTAGTGATAGCAAATCCAGTTATTTGAGGTTGGAACTCCTGAGAAGATAAGTGTGGTTCAAATTGTAATGTGGAAATTGCAGAAAGGCTGTTTGGGTGTTGGTGGTTCTGTTTGGGTTTTGCTTGACTGTGTCCCTGAGATGAACAAGCACACTCTGACACACAACATCTCTCCACATTTACCCCAGAAATCTAGCACTGTGTGGTCAGCCTGAATTGGAAACCAGAGATGGAAGGCATGGTTGTGATTCACTGCTTCCTGATAAAGTGGGGCTGGGAGTGGGGCATGGAAAAAGTGATGCATCTTTGATGTGTCATATCTCATTGATCAGTGCCTTCATGAGGAGACAGAAAGGGTCTGGGGCAGTTTTAAGTGTACTTCTACATAACCATTCATTAAGTTTTTCTAATCTTAGCAATTTCAGGAATGTGTAGTCTGGTTTTACTGGGGACCACTGGGAAGTCTTAGAAGGTTTACGATGAGCTATGACCTTTTGTGCATGATTCAGGTCACTGGATAAGTGTCCCAGCTCTTTTCCTCTCTTCCTCACCAAAGGTCACTAGTCTGTTTGCATAAACCCAGTCCACTTTTCTTTCCTTCCTCCTCTTTTCCTGCCTTCTTTCACTCTTTCTCCAAAATTGTCTTAATGTCTGGCTAAAAATCCCACTTCCAGGTTTTGCAGTTTCTGCTCAACTCTCAGTTGCCCTAACCTTCCACCCTCAGCTGAGTGGATATTGGTGACTGAGAAGGTTTTTTTTGCTTGTCTGTTTTTTAAATAAATAGACATTTGACATTGAAGTAAATCTTCAGGGAAGTGGATGTGAGATAAACAAAACTGCTTCTTTCTGCCTTAGCCTCTGCAGGCCTTTTACTTCCCTTTCCTCTGTGGAAAGTTGATGACAGTGAGCTGTACCATAGTGACAAAAGAAAGTTATTCTGAGGATGTGATGGGGAGAGCTAACAGCACCAGAGGACAAAAAAGCTCTCTTGGTAGAGAGCCACATTCTGCCAGGGCAGTGCTAGGTGCTCTGCTACTAAGAGGCCTCTGAGACTGTAATATGTGTTCTTGTGAGTTTTGCTTTTTAAATGTAGAGTTTTCAAGACCTTTGTCTTGTATATAAACCCTCTTCATCTTTAGTAAACAGAGACTGGAGAAAGTGCGTGTGCTGCGTCCTTCCCTGTTCCTCCCCAAGCCAGCTGTGAGTAGAAGTGGACGCAGCAGGGGGTGGAAACGTTGGGGTTTGCTGAGCTGGACACTGCACAGTGAGGGGGGGACCAGACCCCACGTCTGGTGCCTGGGGATTGTGCTTATTTTAGGGCTTTCTGGCCCGAGCTGTTCCCTTTGCTCAGCTGTTGTGATGCCACCTTTCCCGCACAGCGCTGTCATGCTGCCTGGAGGTTTCTATTTTAACTCTCTCTGGGGCTAGATCTTGTGACAGGAGGATTTGGCATCTCTCCTACGTGCTGGAACGTGGCATCTCGGAAGGCACAGTGGCTGCAGCTGCTATATCAGGGGGTGCCCCTCCTAGTAGCTGGCAGAAGGGGGACACCCCTAGAATCACCATGCGTCTCCGCAGGCAGCATCCCTGCGAAGAAGCAGCCGTGCCTTAACTGCCCCCCTCTCACACCTCTCTGTCTCTTCCAGTCTGTTTCACAGAGTTTGAAGAGCTTGGGACCTACTCAGCAGCTGCCCACTGCTCCCCTGCAGCATCTCCCTTTCAGCTCTCAGGTATGTAGTTCCTGGGGATGAGGGTAGAGTTCTGTGCCCTGGCTGCATGTGAGGCAGTTCTGCAGCCTGCTGACAAATGGTGGGGAGGGAGGACAGGGACAACTGGTGGGGTGAGGTTGGGTGTAAGGCATGGTGGGCTGGGACTGGACTAGATGGACTTTAGAGGTCCCTTCCAACCCAATACTTTCTGTAATTCTATGAGTGGAGACATTCTTCAGGTTTCAAGGTTTGTGCACCTGAGTGTCATGTCCCATTTAACAACTTGCTTTAGCACTGTCAGCCTTGGGAGAAACCCAGAGGAGCAGCTTGAATCTAATGCTGACACTCTCCATGATAGGAGACTGGGCAAACAGAGACAAACTGTTTCCAGAGGAGGTGTAGGAAATTCCTGCAGCCTGTGTTGGGGTGCTTCAGTGTGGCTCATGTCACTGAGAAAGATTTCTAGGAGCTGGGAGATGTGGACTCTTTACCTGATCTTCCTCATCTCTGCCGTGTGCTCTGTGGGCTGGCAGGATGAGCAGATACCTCTCTGGGGTGTGAGAGAAGCTTTTTATAACTAGGAATGTGCAAGAGGAGAAGTGGCAGTGAAGGACATCTCTGCTGCATTAACCCAGCCTTGCCTAGAATGGAGTGGGTTGGTGTGGAAGGGACAGGGCTTGGACCTTTCTCTGTTACTCCCCCCCTATTCCTGCACAAGAGCCACCCTGAACCTCCCTCCAAAGAAATCAGTGTTGCACCATATCAGGAACAAACTGGCAGCACAGACCAGCACAAGGGAATGGGCAAAAGTTCTGAGCTGACAGAGCATGAGGGACCTTTTACCTTCTGGCCTAGATTTTGAGCCTGATGTAGTGAGAGTTGAGTGTAATGAAAACACCAGCTCCAGAGGGATGTCCTGGGGAAGCATCTTGCTGGGTGTTCCCTGGTGTGTTTCTGGAGTTCTGCTCAAGCCCAGCTCAGCTGGTGGGCTCCTCCCCACTGAAGACATGCCTACCTGCTGACTGCTCAGCCTTGTTTGCTCCAGTCAGTTGTTGTAATCCCATAATCCTGAGTCATACTGGGAAGCTGGAGTCATCTCCATTGACAGAAGACTTATTTTAAGTCTTTTCAAGGCAGATTTCAAACAGCTTTAGCTACCTCAGTTTCTGTAGCTTTTGCTACCCTCTTGAGGACCTTGGTTAAGAAGGGAATCTCTGCAGAGATGTCTGGTGCTGCTGAACTCTGTTGGATTCACTAGACTCTCCAGTATTTGTACAGCTGAGCTTTGGCAAGATTGTCTTCTACAACAGCCCTTCCCAGTGTGCTGCAGGCCTGCCAAGGAGGCATCTGTCTGCAGGGAGGAAGGAGGCAGGTTTGGCCGTGGGCATCTCTGCTGGATCTAGTCCTCTGCTGCTAGACATGTCTTGATGGCAGTATTTGCCTGCAGGGCAGGAAGTTGGGGTCCTCCAGCTCCATTGAAAACTCTGCTCTCCTCAAAGGCTCACCCAAGGCTATATTATAAATTGCTTTTCTCTCTTTTCAGCTTAACAGAAATCAGCAAAAATTCTGTGCTGCAAGAAAAGAGAGGTCATGTCATCAGAAGATGATGCTGGTGGGGAGGCTCCTGGGGGCAGTTTCTGGGAGGTAAGGAAGGATAATTGGGCTGTGAGGGAGGTAGGAATGTCTTCTTGCCTCCCACCAGTGGAATTTAGGGGGTTGAGTTTCAGGTTCCTGGGTGACACTTAGGGAGTGGAAGGGAGGAGCTACGGGGAGGTTCAGTGACACTGTTAGTGCATGGAGGAGGTAACCCTTTCCCCCACACATGCAGTGGAATGTTCCTTGTTCAGCAGACACTGATCTGAGCTGTGGGAGAGGCAAGCAAAGCACCTCAGCTTCTTCCTTCCGCTGCTGTGCCAGTCAGAGTGCCAGAGGAGGGTCTGAGCCCAGCTGCTGCCTTCAGAAGGGCCTGTGCTCCCTCCCCATGCAGTGACTGACCTGCTGCTGTCTGTTCTGAAGGAACGTGAGGGTCAGTAAAGTGTAAATGTGTGAAATTTCAGGCTGGGAACTACAAGCGGACGGTGAAGCGCGTGGATGACGGGTACCGGCTCTGCAATGACTTGGTCTCCTGCTTCCAGGAGCGAGCCAAGATAGAGAAGAACTATGCCCAGCAGCTCACAGAGTGGTCCCGTAAGTGGAGGACCAACGTGGAGAAAGGTAAAGGTGGCAGGTGGGACTGGGGACAGGGTGCAATGATGGCAGTTTGTTCCTCGAGTGCTGTCTCTTACTGAGGTGATGCTGTTTCCCTGGGGGACAGGCTCCCGTTCTCCAGGAAGTGGGGGGGACTTTCTTGGGTGTGTTTTTTTTGTAGCCAGTCATGTTTCACTTGGAGAGGTGTTTGTTCTGTGTTGTCAGGTGTTTTGTTAAAAAAGTTTGGCAAGGCCTTGGGCAATCCAAGCCTTAAATCAAGCTGCAGATCTTCCCTTTTAAGGATGGCTGGGCTGTCTCTCCTCTGTCTCCTCAAGGATGAGAATATCTGCTACTGCTGTGAGTTAGTGGCAGTGGGCTCAAACTTAATAGCATCCCACAAAGTCATGGGAAACAGGAGGACAGATGCCCCAAAGGATCTACTGGGCCTCACTCATGAACTAGTATCACTGTCTGTCCCAAAGCACAGGCCAGAGCTGTGAAGAGAACTTTCTATAGAAACCACCTAGCAGGCAGCATCTGGGACAGCCAAGGCTGCCCCCCAAAATGCCTGTCTGGCCAGCTCTAACAGCCAGTCTGGATGTTGCCTGTTGGAAGTGTGTGGAGACCAGTCAACAATGACATGTGTGATAGGGAGAGTTGAAGAAGTGACTCCGTACTGAGAGGTGTGTGTAGGAGGAGAATGTGCCTTCCCTTCTGTGGGCAGGAGGTGTAAGGGCCCCTCTGGTGCTTGTTCCTGCAGGTCCCCAGTATGGCACTCTGGAGAAGGCCTGGCATGCCTTCCTGACAGCTGCAGACAAGCTGAGTGAGATCCACCTAGCTGTCAGGAACCACCTGGCCGGGGAGGACTCGGACAAGATCAAGGCCTGGCAGAAGGAGGCCTACCACAAGCAGATGATTGGAGGCTTCAAGGAGACAAAGGAGGCAGAGGATGGGTTTCGAAAGGCCCAGAAACCCTGGGTGAAGAAGATGAAAGATGTGAGCAAAGTGTTGAATGGGGAAGGAGGGATAAGGGCAGCCACGTTGGCTGCGTGACTGCGAGGGCCACTGGGCAACCAAACTGGGCTTAGCCAGAGCAGCAGAGAATGTGGGAAGACTTTTGTAAGAGGCTCTGTGTTCCTGCACTGCAGAAGAGATCATTTGGAGGTGCCTTTCCCCTTGGGAGCATGGTTTACTAAATGCCAAATTGGCATTTCTGTTAGGTTGCCCCGAAACGATTGCCACTGAAACAAACGTTGACGTGCCCTCTCCAAGTGATGGAGGAATGATGTTGTCAGGATGATGGCTTTCTCTGCACCCTCCTCCTACAGGTGGAAACTTCTAAGAAGAACTACCATGCAGCCCGGAAGGAGGAGAAGACAGCCCACACAAGGGAGAACCACGCCAAGGCAGACTCGTCTGTCTCGCAGGAACAGCTACGCAAGCTGCAGGAGCGTGTAGAGAAGTGCACTCAAGAGGCTGAGAAGGTGAGGGGGTGGTGTGGGTGTGGGTCCCAAGGACCACCCCTCTCAAGGGAAACACGCTGGTTGGAAATGTCACTCAGGGAAATGGCTCCAGGTGAAGCCTGTCAGGAGATGTGAGATCCCAGTATGTGTGAGGTTTTAGCTAGTTCAGCTGAGACTTCAGTCACTAAGACTAAGGTCTCTCTATCTTTGGTGTTGGGTGGGACCTAATTGGTAAAGAAATGAAAAATAAAGCAGAGGATTTGGAGGAAGGGGACTGCAGAGCTGAACACTTGGCTACCAAAAGTGACTAGTTTGCCTACCCACAAAAGTGAAAGTGCAGAATTTCTTCTGTGAAGGAGGAGGAAGAAGGAACTTGCAAGAATATTGGGATAGTGGTGGACTGGGATACCAGCTGTGGGGTTTGTCTTGTATTTTTTTAGTAGTACAGGGGGAAAAAACACTTGTCAGTCCCAAGGCAGAGCAGGGGGAGTGTCAGTGGTTTGTCACAGCACATCTGACCATTGCTGTGCTCCTGGGTTGAACCAGTGCAAGGATCAGTACGAGAAGATGCT